CAAAGCCGCTCTTCCTGGTGGCGGTGGTGGTTGTGCCGGTGGCTCCCTCCTTCAACGGTGACGGTGTTACTGCAAATGGCAAAGTAATCGATACATGGTCTTTGTTGCTCATCTTGGTTTTTGAAAGCTCAAAGTTTTGATTTTTATGAAATTTGAGCCTGGTTCATTTGAACCGGTTTCTGTATTACCTGTTTAAGGTTTGTTGGTTGTCTTTTGGTATAGAAAATGTGGTTTTGATGAAATTTTGATGTCTTTTTGGCTCTGAAAGTTGCCATTTTGCCTTAATTTGTTGTTGGATTCTTTTACTAGACGTTGTGATGTGGGTGTTCTGGTGAAAAAGTGAGGTCTTGGATGAATGCTTGATGCAAATCAAGAAAGTTATGATTTTTCTGTGTAATTGGGTCCTTTTGTGTTGCCATAACTTGTTATACCTTCCTTCATTTGGAGTTTCAGACGGGTTTGTGTATATTTGATTAGGACTTCTGTTAAGCATTATGGTTTTTAGGCCTGGGATAAAAGATTCCACTAATAACAGGCAAAAATTGGAACTGCAGTCTCAAATTTGCATACCCATTAAACAAGTTGGGTTCTTTTGTTTTGTTTCGTCTTTGTTTATTTGAAGTGAAGGAATTATGTTTTGATTTTATTGATTTTTCCTTGTTTTTATGTTGTTATAGTTGAATATTGAATGAACGGATTGATGAACTTTTTGTAAGTTAAGATGTCCATCAAAAGCATCGTGCGTGAGTTGAAAGAGATGAAAGATGGGATCGGAAACATATCAAGGCGAGGACTTGAAGGGAAACATTGGCGTGGCAGGGCAAGGTCACATATTGCACCAGATGAAACACCAGCTGAAACTGATCAGATTGAGCAGGGTCAGTGGGCGAATCTACCGCCAGAATTGCTTTTGGATATCATTAGGAGGGTAGAAGAGAGTGAAACCTCATGGCCTGCTCGGGTAGTTGTTGTTCACTGTGCTTCAGTCTGTAGGTCATGGAGAGAAATTACCAAGGAGATTGTAAAAACTCCTGAGCAATGTGGGCGGCTGACATTTCCCATATCATTGAAGCAGGTACTGGTATTTTCCTTCTTTCTTCAAGTGCCTTTTGGTTTAGTTTTTATCCTGGATGCCTCTTCTTTACTTGTCTTTCTTGCCTGAAAATAGCCGGGTCATCGCGAGTCGCCCATACAGTGCTTTATTAAGAGGGATACTGCAACTTCTACATTTCTGTTGTACTATGGTCTGGTGCCTTGTAAGTCGTTTTCTTCTCTTGCTCTTACCTTGCTCTTAAAAAAGAAGACGTATTTACCTCTGTGGCTTGGGATGAAATGCTTAAGGAAATCTTCAGTAATTATTTCTCATTGCATCTGGACTAAGTCAGAAACCCCTGACCCCTCTTCATTGATCATAGTAAGAACGACATTGCAATGGTTGGAAATTAGGGGGCATAATGTAGCATTGCTTCTAATAGGAAGTAAAGTACTGAACTTTCCAATGATATAATTTTAAGCAACAAGCTGATTGAATTATACTGCTCCCAAATCTTTCTGACCTGTAGAAATCTCAGCTTAGAGAGCTCCATAGAGGGCTTATTGACTTGAAATGTTGTTAGTTACTACATTTGTTTTTTTTTTAATTTACATTACTATCAATTGACAGCTGAGGGTGAGAATGATAAGTTGCTTTTAGCGGCCAGAAAGATCAGAAGGGCAACATGCTCAGATTTCATAGTATCTTTGGTTTCAGATGATTTTTCTCGGGCCAGCAACACATATGTTGGTAAATTGAGGCAAGTCTTGGATGTGAGCAGTCTTTATTTAATTTTGCCTAAATTGTTTTCTGTTCTTGTTCCTAACAACCCATTGAACAATTTATGCCAGGTCCAACTTTTTGGGAACCAAGTTCACTATGTATGATTGTGAACCTACATTTGAAGTGCCAACGCAAACACAACATGCTAACCGGATAAGTCGCAGATTCCATTCTAGGCAGGTGTCTCCAAGATTACCTGCATGTAACTATAGTATAGGCACTATCACCTATGAGCTCAATGTTCTTCGCTCAAGAGGACCAAGGAGAATGCATTGCATGATGCACTCTATTCCAATGTCTTCCATTGAGGAGGGGGGCACTGTCCCAACAGTAACTTCATTAACAGAGACATTTGGTGGCCAGTTTCCTCACCTGTCAACTTCAAAAGGGAAGGAATCAGTCTCAGATATTAGTTCCCCAAGCCCCTCTCAATCACCAGTACTAACCCAAGGTTCAGAAGAGCCCCTGGTTCTTAAAAACAAGGCCCCTAGATGGCATGAGCAGCTACAGTGCTGGTGCTTAAATTTCAGAGGTCGTGTCACTGTTGCTTCTGTTAAGAACTTCCAACTTGTCGCTGCTGTTGAATCATTTCACAATGTGTCTTCTGCAGATCAAGAAAGGGTAATTTTACAATTTGGGAAAATTGGAAAAGACATCTTCACCATGGATTATCGCTATCCACTTTCAGCCTTCCAAGCTTTTGCAATCTGCCTGAGCAGCTTTGATACCAAACCAGCCTGTGAATGACAGCTATGGCGCTTGGAGATAGTTACTGTGTAATCTAAAATGTTTCCCCAGATTTGGAAGGGTATCTTCACTACATACCGAGCTCATCATGCAAGGCCATCACAGCTGATCTTCGTGGTGCAATCAGTGCCTTTTTGTGATCGTGGAATTTGACTCGTTTCTTGTTATATCATCCCAACACCATGGAAGTATGAGAAGTTCAGTGCATTGTATCTAAACAGCTCCGTAGTATTCCCTTGAACAATTGTGTAATTGGCGAGAGCCTGCTTTTAAATTCTAACTGTTAGAACCACTTGTTTAGCTGTTAAAATTGCCATCTATTGTGATCTTTAGGCTTATGTGCCTGTTATCATTATCTGGTCCAGCAAGTTCCATGGTTGCACTGCAGTTTGCCTTCGGGATTTTACTTGTTTGGGTCATCTCTGCTACATAATAGGTTCCCCACCTGCCATAATATTTACGATGTCTTACGGTCTTCCCTGGATTACATTTGCCGGATAACAAGTTTACCTTTTGTCTATGCATGTCTTGAACTAGCATTCATTCCTTCACTTGAAATTTGAAACTGATGCTCTCATAGCTTGCCTAAGGTCTTTTTACCTGTTCTTAGAAGTTTGATGTTCCTAGTTTCGGCTGCCACGAGGTGGGTCATCGCGCTTCTTGTTACCCTTTTTAACTTTTACCTTGTTGGTTGAGCAAGAAATCCTCGAAATTAGCTGTTTCTTTGGGAGTATAGATTGCTGGATTTAGGCTTGTGCTTGCTTAAGGTGAAGAAGATTGTCGCCCTAACCAGCAATGGGACCACCAAAAAGGGTACAACGATAGAGTAAATTGTGAGCGTAGAAGATACAGTTACTTTATAGTATAAACTACTCTCGATAATCTGAAATTATTCTCAAGAGATTTCAGGTCCAAGAATCTAATTTAACATACAAGATACAGCATCAACTAAAAGATTTGGATGTTTATTTGCAAGAAAGAAATATGCGGAGGCACGCACTTTGGGCGGCATAAAGTGCTTTTAGAAAAGCAACGTGATTCCAGCCCATTTTTTAGGTGTGGCATCTTATATCAATAATTTGGGTCCAAGTCAGGTTCCATTAGGGTTACCGACATTGGGGAATAAACTGAATTTTAGTTGCCAAATGTTCGGTGCAAACTCTAGCTCTGTTTCCACCTGCTCTTCTATTCCTGAAAAATGATTGAAATCCAACATTTCCAAGGATGAGGTCGCCTAGATTTTTAAGGAAAGCAGAGTAACTACATTTGGTACCCATGAAATCATCGAAATGTCAAAATCCTCATTAGGCTTACAGAACATCATCTAAGATATGGTCCCCTATTTCTAGCTGTCTTGGATCAATACTCGCAAGACAATATGAGACTGGATACTTCTAATCACTAGAAAACCAATTAGTGACATGACCTTAATACCTATGTATCTACTTTCTTCAACAACTGTTGATATATGAACACCATAGTTAACAGGCAATGGATACGAGGAAAAAGACTCTTCATCGTTTTTTGATGATCTGGCTACTTTCAGCTACATGCTTCACCGCTGTGCTTGAGATAGTATCGAAGTTCCTCTTTTTGGTGGTCATGTTTCTCATCTCACAGAAGAGTATGTAATGAACTCCCTTGAAGTAAATTGAAAAGGTTGATGTGGAAAAGGGTTCCTGAATTGATCATTTACAGGGAAGGCAAAAAGAAAAGAAAAGAAAAGCTTCAATCAGAATACTTGTAATTGGAGACGGGTGAACAAAAGATATTGCAAAAGGGTTGAAGTAGAAGACGCACAGCCGAGGTCCATGAACTTTGATCTGGCGTACATGAGTATCCCTTCCATTAAGGTGATTTGATAGCACAGCAATTTGCAGCATAAATGTATTGACAAATGTTTCCCTGCAAAAGATAACGGTTCCAAAATTAGGAAATCAAATGTTGTTCAAAAAATATTTGGAAATCAAACTGGTAGTTTCATACAATATCAGACAAGACCAACACATTAATTCAGTCTCCTCCAGCTGGAACAAATCAATTCAGTCTCCTCTAGCTGAATATTACATCAATGTCTAGTAAATATGAGAACAAAACAATCTCAAGGCTCAATCACATTAAAAAAATTCTCTTACAACTTTATATCAACAAATTCAAAAAGAAGTATCCATACAAAGAATCAAAATACCAAACATGTTCATGCTTCTCTTTTGTCCAGCACACTTGAACCAAGCCCCAAGTTCAGAAAAGAATACAGAACTTAGTCCTATATGATTGAGGACTATCTGCTATTTCTAAATTAGACAAAGGATCATTCAATCATGGCTGTGCCACCAGAGGTTCTGAATTCTAAGTAAAAATAGGAGAGCACTGTAAATTTTGGCAGCAGGTTGAATAGATGTAGTTGGACTTAAAATTCAGATCCTTAACTTACTTTAGAACAATTAATTTATGATATATCATGTCCAGCTACTAGAAAAACAATAATGCGATATAACTGACACATTTTCATGTTGCATAAGGTTCTCAACGTAGTACGATAGGAAGACAATGCCAATGACCCAATACTATCAATCAAGGTTTACCCTCTATTTGAATTGAACCCATAATCTCAGTTGGACAAAAATGGAAAACCTTTCCAACTCAGTTGCACTTCAGAATTCCTCAAAACACTTGATGCCTTGACATCAAGAAGATAAACCAGTAAATAAAAGTTGAAAGAAAATAGCAGTAAAATAAATATTTTATCCTCTGCCTTTCATCCCCCATAAGGAAAAGAAGAGACTCCATCTTTGATTCTTGATTTCTAGTGCTAATAATTACTAACATATATCGATGATCATGGTCAACACATCAGGTACAACAGGCTACGAGCTATGAATTTCACGATGATAGGACCTCAATTGTGGAGTAACAATCTAAGTTTATCATCTTCACAAGTATTAGAACGCAATGAAATGATGATGGATTCAGATAATGCCTATTATGCACAATTAAGCAAAGAGAATGAGCACAATCATCACATAGGCAGAAATATAATAGCAGTGCTTACCTGGGATCATTTCCAGATAAGGAAAGATAAACCCACCCAGTTGGCTTCACAAGTTCCATAGTCTTAATCTCCTAAAACACAATTTTGTCAAACAAAAATGAGTCACCATGAAAAAGATTGTCAATTACAAAAGCAAAACAAAGCAAACAGAATTCAAAAAAATACCTTCAAATTATGAAACCCATCACCAGCACGAATCGAAATCTTACTAGGTGTGTAACTCTCATCAAGCTTAAAATCCACATAAAGAACAACTAACTTCAAAAATACAAAAGTCCCACAAATTAATCCTAATACACAGAAACAATTAAATAAAAAATAAAAAATAAAAAATTTCAACAGAAGTTGCATACTTGCAGCTTCACTTTCTTCTGAAATTGAATATTAACGAAATGGGGCTGTGCTCCATCTGATCTACGACAACAAACAAATGAAAGTGATTCAAACTTCATATTCCAATCAATGAAAAAAATCAAAAATCAAGCTTTCATTCTTTTTTCAAAAAAAGATTCAAACTTTAACAGATACACAGGGATATGGAGGAAAGGGTATGTTTGCTAACTGCCAATAAGTGTCCAGATTGTCATCTCTAAGAAAAGAGACCCCATTTCCAGGTTTGCAAGAACTAACACTCCAAGCAGCTTTTTTTCCCATTTCTCTAAGATCATCTTCGATAACCAAGAGCTTGTTTCCTCCTGTGATCTTCCCTTCTTCTTCTCCTTCTGATGATTCTGTCGCCATTTTTTGTTTACAAGTATACTACACCACCCAAATGTAGCTTAAAGTTCAGCAACTTGGTTCAATTTTGACCAAACACAAACCCTAATTTTGAGTGAATATATTATGTAATGCTCTAGGAAAAGGAAGCTTTATGTCAAACCAGAGTTTGAAAACTTGGTTTTGGTGAAAATTGAAGTGTTTTTGAACTTGTTAGACGACGTGTCGTTTATTTTATAGACGACATTCGCTGTCAAGTGACTTGGCATTGCTATACTACTTGCCGTTGACTTCAAGATGACTTGTCGTTTCCGACATGTGATTGTATCAAGTATCAACATGTGTATGGGTGTTTTTTTTATTGTAAGGGTATCTTTAAATTAACTTGTAAGTTCATCCCCGAATGATTTTACGATTACATCCTCACTTGCTATGATACATTTAGAAAAGATTTAATAAATTATTTTATATAATTATATTGGTTACTGCTTAGATAAGAAAAGTAATGAAAATCTATAAATGACAAGTTTAAATTTAAAAAATCAAGAAAATAAATAAAGTTTTTTTTAGCCATAAAACAATTTATTAAACTTTTTAAACAATTTTCTAATCATGCAAAAAAATAAATACAAATAAAATGGTTCAAAATCATCACCCAAATAAGCTCATGAAATTCTCATGCGTTTGGATATATGCTAGAGGCCAACTCTTGCACAGAATTTTTTTAAAAAACTTCACATGAGTTTTTTAATATTTTATTTTAATTAAATATATATTATTTTAAATACAATAAAATTTAAAATATAACAAAAATAAAATTATATTATAATCCTTTCTCTCCATAAAAAAACAACATTTATAAATTATAAATATATCATAAATCCTTCAAGATAAAAATTTATAATCTTTTTATTTTTAATATTTTTATTATATATATTTTTAGATTTTATCTCTCTAAAATATCATTACACTTTCTCTATATAGAATTAATGATTTTACCATTAGAAAATCTTCAATCCATTAAATGAAATCTTTTATAAGTGCCAGCTATTAGTCTATTAATTTACGAGGCACCACCTACTACTACTACAGCTACTGATCACTTAATTTACAGGCACTACATATTACTGCTACAATTATCGATTACTTAGCTTACTAGCATCATTTGCTACAATCAAAGTTATTACGGCCTTGATTTATTAGGCATTATCTATTAATATCACAATTATTAATCATCTTGGCTAACAAATTATTATCGCTACTGGTTATCAATTTTTTAAATCTTTTATATCAAATTACCAAACACCTTAACTAAAAATAATAAATTAGATTGTTTAAACTAAAAAATAACTCAATTATCTAATTTTAAAACTATCTAAATAATCCAAAACTTGGCATCTCCTATAAATATAGCTTTGTAAAAGATTACACCGATTTACTTGGATTAATCATGTCTTGTTATTGATCCCAAGTGAGAGACAAATTTACCTAGATCAAGGGTGAAACATGTATTATTGTCCTCAACCCATCAAAAAAAAGATTTCCAGATTTTTGATGTGGAAATCATTCAGGACCATTACTGTAATATGATAGTACCAGCAGTATAAACAAAAGAATCTAACGTACGATTGTTATGTTTTGCCACAAAAGAAGACGTTATTATAACAGCATCTACCAAATGGTCATCAAGAATCTCAGCTACTTACAGACACATCTCAAGCCAGTGGTTTGTGGTCCTATAATCAAATGGCTTCCTTTTGCTTTCTTCTGCTAAGCAGGCTAGCTCATCCAATCCAACAACAAGCTCCTTCCCTTTTCTTTCACCTTTCCTTGCCCCTACTTTTCTTCAAGTATCCAACCATGGGGTCCTCTATCATTTTCAATTCCTATCAGCCTTTCTTTTAGTACCAATCATGGGGTCCTATTTTTCTCTCGACATTCAAAGGCACAAAAAGCATATCTGCAGACATCACCAAGTGCGTAGGTACAGACATAAAGGATATCTTTATTCTTGCAATGCAAGAAATTTGATTGTTTGATTGGTAAGAATTAATGATGGCTTTTGCAACATCCATCTATGCATGTGGAAGCAAATATTTACAGTGCTCGAAATTATTAGAATTGCTGAATTATTGAAAGTGGATTCTTGGGATGGTGATTAGTTCCCTAAATTATGTCTCTGATCTGAGACTGGTAGATTCCTCGGAGGATACTAATTGCCTGCAAAAACCATGAATGAAATATGAGAAAGTAGTATAATTGGGAAATAGTAATTAAGTAAATATAGGGAGAAGCATATTGATCTACCTTCAGTTATCGATGAAGAAAAGAAAAGTTGATCTGCTTTAATGGAATCCCAAATTTTGAAGGTTTTGTGAGTCAGCATCCCAAAAAGGTTGGACTTGCTGCAATTCATTTATTATTTGTTAGGATCAATGGCATGGCATGATATAATTGCCAAGAAAGCAGTAAATTGTAGAAACCGCCAAGTATTGAAGCAATTACATATAGTGAATGATCTAGGCATAGGTCATTGATCAATGCTGAGGAGCTTATAGCTTTTTCAGGCACAAGTTGAAAAGTATCTGTCGAAGCTTTCGGTCTACTGCTTGTTGCCTGTTGTTGCACTAGATTCAGTTGAAGGTGGGGCAAATTGGCAATTGTTGATGACATAGTGGTTGCTGGAAAACTTGCGATGTATGCAGGTGACTTCATCGCATAATTATTTAAAAGAACAAGTCAGTTCTAGAAGAAATCTAACAATCTGAATTCCCATTTATAACATTACAAAAATTTGCTGAAACCTTACCTCTTTCCGGGAAACGTTGTCGGTATCTGGTCTTCGATTTATATCAGCAAGTTTCATGGATATGAACTGTATGTAAATTAAAACTTGATTATTTGAATGTTACAAAGAAAAATCTGATAGAACAGATTAACTAGGATGGTTACCTCTACTTGTCTTTGAAGAGATTGGACATAATTGATGATTTCGTCAAGCATTCCGGCCCTGCCTGTTATCTTGTTGCATCCAGGGACTAGATCTTGCAGACATTTCATTTTCTTACTGATCTTTGCCCTCCTGGCCTTATATATATATCAAGGACATACAACAAAACTCAGTGGAGGTTACAATATTCATTTTGATGTATAACTAAATATAACTTGTATGAATTATATGATGAAATATTCTCCTGCTTACTCTTTCTGCTAAGCTGTGACTGTCAGTAGCCTGGCCGCGACGTGCCCGCACATGAATGTAGTCTGTCTGAGGTAAGGCTGAAGTCTTCTGATTTTCCATCGAACAATCTGCTGAAATTTCTGGACTGCCTTTCTCTTTAACCTTGGGCTCATCTTCTACTAATTTAATCTTATCGTCACTCTCTTCTGCTGCAATAAACTGAACATACAGACAAGAAAAATGCAGAGAAGTTGAAACTTGTCAATGATCATGACTTAGCTGACCAAGTTCATCAACCTGATAAATTAAAGATTATGTTTAAAAGATAAACCACTCTGATTACTCAAAGGCCTTCAAGTACAGGATTGACATGTTTTTTCCAGAAGCACGAAGGAAAGCTTATTCTCTCTTGAATTACAATAGCTGAAGATTCATTTTGTCCTCCTATTCTTATACTGATAAGCTCAGATACTATTCCTGAGAAGATTTGATTTCTTATTGAGGTCATAATCATAAAATATTCCTGAGAAAACCCCACTTCCCCATAATTCCTGAGAATTGAATTGAATGAACTTGTAGTGAAGGTAAATAAACATACCTCTGCTTTCCTCTTATTTGAATTGTCTCTCCTACCATGGTTGGATTGCTTATTCTCCATCAAGGTCACATCTTCACATGCCACATTTACTGCTACCACCTCCTCTATTTTTGCAGCCTCCACCACCCCAATTTGGCAACTAGAAGTCCTTGAAAGACAATGATCAATCTCGAGAGACCGTGCCATTACCTCTGCTTCTCCAAAATCCATCTTATTATTAGCTACGAACTCTGTGCCATTCAATGAAAAACCACCATATTTTGGCAAATCATTGTTCCCCAAATAGATTTCAGGCTGCTCCTTCCAATCAATCCTATCTCCATTCATTGACTCATGATCAAAGAAGCCATGAAACATATCAGTAGGCATTGAACACGATTCAATGGAATTGTATTGGTTTACATAGTTGTTCTCCTGCTGCAGCAGCAGCAGCCCTTCGAACCTCGCTTGCTGTCTTTCTAACACACTCATGTCCATGCAAAAGATGTGTTTTTGAGACAGCATAAGTTTAAGGTGATACTATCAAATGTTTTCCCAACTCCTACAAGCTAAAAAATCTTGGCACAAAAAATCTCCACTACTCACCCATGTTACCAGCCTCGAAGAATATATGCTAGCAAAGCAATGGTGGGTATATTTTGTTATTTGTGATAGAGTTGGCTAATCAGCTTAAAAGGGAGATGAAATGTTAAGTCTCAATCAAAAATAAATGTGGAGACATAGAAGAAGATATATATAGGAAATGGAAGGATAAGAGAAATCAAGGCGAGAAAGAAGAGAGATAGCTCTCAAAGGAACGTACACCATAAACAAGAGCAGTGGGCTACGGTCCCCTAGTGACATACAACCACCATGTGGGGATGTCCGTTGAACAGGAAACGGGGATGGCTTGAACGGGATTTTTGTTGAGATTTTGGCCTTTCAATCCTTGGTGAGGGGATCTTTGTTGTTAGGTATTGCAGTTGACAAACAAAGAAAATTCTTAGGCCTTCCAATTCTCAAGTGTATGCTATGCCTTGGCTTCTAGCGAAGGACCACAATCTTTAATCAATGGAGATATACTCACTGTATGCTAGTTTGATATGAGGAGCATTTTTAGGATATCTTTGGAATAGATTTCATGCATTGAGATTAAATTCTTCTCCTATGGATCTTGGGTAGATCATTCACACCAAAATTAATATATTCATGAGATGCTTTTTACTCAAATACAATATGATAAACATGAGTAAATCCATTTACTATCCCCGAAAGAGGCCCCATTTAAAGGATTATAAGTAAAAAAATTTCTTTGAAAATTTCTGTCCTTAAAAGACATGACTTATATGTCGTAATGTGAATTTTAAATTAAGTAACATTAAAGCTCATAAATCATTGGAATCCAGTATTGGATCATATACATCTATGATAGATGAGGTGTAAAAATCAGATTATATATAAAAGGTCTCTAATGTAATAATAATATAAAAAAAAATTTAATTAAAAGTCTCGTGTATTCAATCCACGTAAAATAACCCTAAAGTTTGACATATATCAAAATACTTTTTATTATTGATAACATAAAAAATTTTGAACAGCTGCTTCAACACTAGATCAATCTTGATAAGATATGTATTCTATTGATTTTCCGCTGTGATTGAATGTTTAGCATAGTAAAACTAGGTAACATTGTGCAATGTCTCCGGAAATGATATTCAAAGCTTTGCTATTGACCACAAACATAAACTGATTTGATGAATGTTCATTGCTAATGTTGTAAATTTAAGGTTCTTTCGTCAGCTAAGTTCACTGAAAGACATAAATTATGTGGAGACAGGAGAATCAATCAAGCCCTTTAAAAAACACAGTTTAATATCATTGTCGTGCATTAAATAGAAAAACCCTCCTCTGTTATTGGAAACGACAAGAAGCCATTTAAATAATTAGTTGTTTAAAGTGTATTAATGGTAATGAGACACTAAGATCAACAATGAGGAAGAGAGAAAAAATTGCTCCTTAGGGAGGAACAGTCCATTATACTTAACTAGGGAAATGAAGATCTGAATTTCATTGAAAACAAATCCAGACCAACCCAACAAACTGAACCGGTGTTCGGCTCAGGCCAGGCTTCATAATTAATGGAAAAGGTTGATTCATGTGACGTGATGTAATCCAATCCATTCAGTCAAAAACTTGTTAGTTTTCTTTTTTAAGAAATAATAATTCAAAAACATCATCATTTTAACTTAGAAGAAATGGGTTTCACCTGTTGATTGGTGACCCGAGCCTTGTCTCCTGTGGAGGTGTAATAATTATGTTAACAGCCCATCATTTGAAAATGCATCTTGATCATCAAAACAGAGCATTGACCTAGAACATCGTGGAGGATAAGGACTAAGGAGAGGCGTGAATCACAAAGGATATTTGTTTTCCATAATAAAGATACGTGCATGGATAAGATTATGAGAAATTATAGGTTGACCTACCGACAATATGTGTCAAACTAGGCCAGCACAAAACAAATGACACCAGACCTTTGTTAGCCATCCCAGTTAACTCAAGTCACCCTCTCCAGAGATGACAGCATGGCTTCGAGATAATGTTACTACTAGTATCAGCAGAAAAAGGTTACAAATTTCTCGCAGACTGTTCCATGCCAAACATATAGGAGCAGGTGATTGTCACGTATAAGTGATAGTCACAAGGAGAGCACCATGCTAGAATATGCAGGCAGGTGCGATCGGTTAGTTATTCAAGCCATTTGACATCGTATGAAAAGACTTGGAGCTAAATCCAACTCACATCTACATAACAGGAGGTTAAAGAAAGAGGTAATCTTGCGGGTTGGCCTCGTTGGCAGGAGTTTCTTCCTGGTTCCTGTTGTGTAGAATTCAAAATTGGGAAAAAATATAGTGGACGATGACAAAAGAAGACCGAATTAGTTGCATGTGGAAGATGATAGTTAGCCATTGTCATACAGCTTTCCTGTTGGCCAAGAGGAAGTTGTCTCAACCAAGTTGGTGGTAAACGAATTCATTAAAATATATGTCACAAGACAAGATCACATTACCTTGATGGAGAAAGATATGCAATGAGATCTAAGGCCCCAGCAAGTAATTCATATTATTGTGACAAATATAACATGAGGCATCTTTAAAATGATGGGTATCGACATAGGTGATAGGGGGTTGGGAGACCAAGGGCTGGCAAAGCGTTGCACCCTTTGGGGAGCCCCACCCAACTTCATATGGTTGTGTCTCGAATGGCTTTGGCTATCAAAGCTGCTCGTTTTCAAATGTTCAAATCAAATTCAAGCCTGAGCTCGAATCCCAGGTTCAAATTTAAGATTTAGCACAGTACTCCAAATTACTATCCATTTCCCTTTCCCTGCTTAGCTTTAGGATTTAACCATATCAGTTTGGCCGGAAAAAATAAAAAGAAATCCATCACTGATGCACTACCATCAGCTAGACACCACGGCAAACTCATTAATCTTACCAATGCAGGCTGCAAATGGAAAATAATGTTTGCCATTCAGATCCCAAATTTCAACTGACTTCAGCCTTTTGTCACTCCTAATAATTCCATCATAGGTCGATCGCCTTCAAAAAAGACAGCAACAGACCTACCAATGAACTCCATTCAGATTCGGTCAATGCAGAAAGCATAGAAATGAAGGCAGCAAATGGGCATGATATGACAGGAACAAAGATTCATGAAGTGAATTTATAACAATATTTGCAGAGTCATGAAGAGAACTGGAAAAACAAAACATAATGAAGTCATTAGAAATGGCAAAAATACAATTTCAAACCAACAATTGTTAAATAATAAATCAGTTTGCAGTTAGATAGCAGCAAGACGCCCCTCGCCAAGGAGAAAGCAAATCAGTTGCAGGGACAATAACAAGAAACAGCGGCTTAACACAACTTCTCAGACATCCAAAGCTACTGGCTGTAATGTACAGCATGCATGCACTAACAAGCATGAAACTGTATGCATTCTGTTGGAATTTGCAGCTTTAGGTTATTGTATGGGATATATCAGCATTAAAGCTAGAGCCCAAACTAATTGTGCAGCACTAACAATCACGTTAATAGCTATTGTAATGATCAACAGATATTTCAAATGCAATCAAGAACTAATAAAAATTCTTCCGATTTGAAGTTGCTCTAAATAAAAACACCAGTTTCTGTTGATTTTTACAGCTATTTGTTTGTGCAAGATAATGCTAATGATGGATCAAAACAAGAAGAACAAAACATGAATGAAATGTAGTCTGCTAATAATTATTGGGATACGGTCTTGTTGGACTGAAATTAAGACAAAACTTCATGAAATTGTAGAATAGAAAGAAAAGCATTTATGCAGTATGCAAGAATAACCATTATCGTACATGGATAAATGTAGCTTGACTTTCAGACAATCAAAATCAACTTCCAAACAACATATCAATCAAGACTCGACAATAAGCATCACAATACATGGATAATTGCAACCTAAATTCCACACAATCAAAATCGATTTCCTAACAACATATCAAGCAGAACTATACACTGTTATTAAATATACAGGTGGAACATGGCAGCAGATACATCATAAGAAATCAAACCTAAAAAATTCTATATGTTGGGGATTAGCATTAGAGAGAAACAAAACCCTTACCAATTAAACAATATTTAGCTATAGTTCGATTTTATGCTGCCCTATTCCTGACAAGAAAGGGTAGCTCCCCAACCTAGGAGATAACTGCCAACCTGATTCTATATTTTTTACATGAAAAAAGGTTCAAAGTCACCAAAGGTTGAAAAAGCGAGCAGATTGAAGTGTCATCTCTTCTTTTTTGATGCAACAGAACTGCGTCTGGAGAACACTGATAAATTCTTGAAAACTCCAGATTTCTTTTTTATTGTTTGGTGGCTGGCATCTCTATCAGCATCAACAACAGATTTCTTGTCTATTGTTTGGTGGCTGGCATCTCTATCAGCATCAATATCAGAAACAAAACATTCATGCTCATTATCATATTCAATTATGTCCCTTAACTGCCGAAGCAATTCCAAGGCAATCGCTCTCCCTTTGTCAGTTCCATTGATAGATATATCAACAAGGGAAGGAATGACACCTTCTTCCATGACCAGCTCACAGTACTGAAAACGCTGAGAACACAAGGAAAGCAGAATAGCTGCTGCATGTTCTTGTTCCTCACGACTGCCACTCTCAAGTAGCTCAGCAATGGAGGCAATGCATCCATTTGTTTCAGCAACAGAAACCCTAGCCTCTTCAATATCACACAAATTTCTTAGTAGAACTACAGAATAACTTGAAAGATTGCCATTCTTAAGCAAAGGAACCAATTTTGGGATGCACTCCATCAATACAATTTGGGAACAAATATCATTGTTTGAGGACAAATTATGCAGAATTTTAATGGCTTGTTTCTGGAATTCTGTGCTGTGGGAGTCAAGGATCTTTTGGATAGAAACAAGAGCACCAGATGCAGTGATTTTAGATTGGCAATATGGGTGTCCAGACAGCACTTCAAATATGGCAAGAACCTCTTCAATTACTTCAGAATCAAGGAACGATGACAACAGAACAAAAACGTCTTCATGTAAGTATGATATTCCACTTCTGCAATAAACAGCACCTAGAAATGAAACTGCTAGCCATAGATCCACATATAAGAGAAACATGAACTAAACTTTTATTAACTAACATAAGTAAAAGGAACAATCATAGGGTTTAGCTCGTCAAATTTCATGCAATGCTTTGGTGGAAACAACA